TTTTACAACGTAATACTCTGAAATATTACAAAAATCGTAAATCTACGGAATATTACGCCGCATTTAAATTCCAGATGAAAAACAAATAACATAATATATATTTAGACATCTTTAAAGAAGTACATATTTCATATATACATTTCATTTTTGAGATTATGGCCGTTGATGCATTCAATATCATTACATTGATGAATAAAATACGTAGTGCTTATGCAGATCACGCTTATAGGGAAGATACGTCATCGCTTATTTGCAATCTAAAGCCTATATACTAGACATTCTAATACTGTTCAATTAGTAATTTCGAATCCATTGATAAAAACGAAAGTGAAATATTAGTGGTTATTTTGATAGATAAAAATAGTCCGTATAATCGCAAAAGTTTTATCATCATTGGTGACTATAGTGACAACTTCACTAATATGCAGGCGATATAGAACATTAATATCATTTTCTTCTACCAAAAAACAAGTATATTCATAGAATTGACATGAATTTCCGAAAATTGCCGAATGATAGCCTATATCCTGATATAATAATGCCAATTCTACATGAAAATCAGCGTATTCTAGTAAAAACTCCTTAGCCTTTTTTTGATATGCGCTTCTTTAAAGTTATCTTTGAGATATATTCAACTGGTAAATGTATTACTTGTAGACAATAATTCTAAATTAATTAATTAAGAAAAAGTTCAAAGATATTCAAAACAAGTAATGAAATCAAACCTTCGCTTATATCGCTATCAGAATCTAAAGATTTTTCAGTGATAAACCAATCATTCATTAGTCGTTTTAAGTGATACGGAAGGTTTATTAAGGCATTGTTTGTGGAAGAAAAGTGACTATCAATACCTCCGTCAAATAAATGGCGCACTGCAAATAAAGTTGTGTAATGTTTTAGTAAATCCAAGTCCACATTCTTATGATTTGTTTGCATCACAATATTTTTAAAAATGCGGTATACTATTTCCTTCGTCCCTACACCAGTATTCAATAAAGTAGCATAATTTCTAGCATGTTATACTAAATAAAAGTTAACATGCAAATTTGGAAGGTTTTTGAAATCTTTGAATGCCTGTCTTATAATATAATAATTAATAAACAAAATATAAAGATCTATCTAACAATTACAATTACTAATTACTTGTAACAATAGTCTTCTTTTATTGTCTAAGCATTCATACATCTTAATGTAATCATCTTCTGCAAAAGAATTCTTGAATAACATTAACATTGTTTTCGCTATTAATACCCAACATTTCAACCAAAGTTTTACAGCTAAATTACTTCGAGAAAGTCCTGTTCAGTGTTAAAATAAGGAAAGTTCAGCTTTTTTAAAGTATATAGACTTCAAGAACCTATTAAAGATAAATAGTATCATCATGGCTAATCGCAAGCAATCTAACATCATGAAACTGTCGATGTGTGAGACTGGATTTGGTAATTTTTTCCAGGATCTAGGATATTTGAATGCCTTCCAAGCCATGATGAATGCTATTTTCCTCTCCGGAAATAATGCATCAATAGTTAACTTGAGAAACCTTAAGACTTTACTAGCTGTAACATGATAGACATCTTGCGGTGATTGAAGATGTTTTTCCTATTTCAATTCATTAAGTATTGGGACATGTATACGCAATCCATAGGATGCAGCAATTTTTTTGTGTCTTGTTATCATCGGTGTTATACTAATCTCTTCAAATTGAATATTTGTAAGATAGTGATAAAGAGAAACCAAAAATAAATCAAGATTGTCAGATATCCAAGAATTTTTAGTAGCATTACAAGTTTGACATCCCTTTGTAGCTTCATGTCTTTTAATTCTGGATAGGTTATTATCTTGCGGTAAATCAGCAGTTACATCTCCAAGACTTGTGAATACAATGCTTTTATTTTCTTGTACATCCATAATTTTTCCATTTTCTAGCATTTTCATCTCTATAATAAACAGTATAATGAATTCATCGAAACAACCACCGAATGAAACAAACCCGAGCACGAAATTATTCTTGAGTTGCTTTCTTTTATCGAAAGGTAAGTTTCTGATTTGAATATAAATGCCTTCCAATGAGTGATAGATATTACGAAATATCCCAAAGTCGTCATAATAGAGATCAATGTATAGTTTATATATCAGAAGACTTGTTTTTGGCTCTTTTAATGGAGCAAATTCAGAAGGATGATGATAAGAATATGCAACATTTTTTATCTTCCAGTGACCTTGATGTTTATAGAGGATTTCACGAATTACAATTGAAGAATGTTCGTCAATAGTATTTAAATTATAGATTATAATGACCACGACTCACCTAATGATTTTTAGTAATTCAATATCTACTAACGCATCCTTCGTTTCCCGATCTAATAACTATAATTCATTTTCACATTTTTCTTTGCGATTGTTACTCTGCAAGTTTTCTGGTAATTCTATGAATGTTAAAAGACGTTGAATTGTCACTTTAAGTTCACCATCTACTTCACAATCGACACAATTCTGCCAATTTTATTTGATAACTTTCTATATACTACGAAATCTCCACAATTATACTTTGCTAGAAATATGAAATAAACTGAAAAGTTTAGAAACAATTGCCAAATCACAGCATAAGCTAAATATCTAAAACTAAACTAACATACCTCTGTTAATTTAAATAGACACATGTCCAAACTATGGTAATTCTTTCCATATATTTCCATGCTAAAGCTCTTAATTTATTTTGACTTTTTGGCCTGGTCTGAAGTACATTTGGTTGAATAGCAAAGGTTATTAAGAATCTGCCAAATGATATCAGTTATAGATAAATAATACGCTTCTTTTGTAACTTTAAATATAGATGGTGTTTTTCTATTGGAAATCTGAATGCATTGTGACTTAATAGAAAGCAAGGGCAATCTTTGTCGATACTTCCTAAAGTGTTGAATATTTGTCACAATATCTTCACTTTTGAATTGAAGATGTGTGATTATGTCGACCAATTTATCATAGGCTTGAGTAGCTAGTAAGTATTAAAAAAATCGGTAAAACTTATTATAATGAATCAAACTGTTTAACATATATATATTATATTTTTAAATTCAGCAAAACATCAACACTTCCGTAACATTGCTAAAATATAAAGCAAATTCTTCATTAATATGTGGCATATTTTCATTTTTTTAAGGACTTGTCAACAATTTTTTCATCTTTATCAAGTTCTTCATCAGACTCTTCGCTAAAATATTCTTTGCTAAAATATTCATCATCAGACTCTCCATCAAGTTCTTCGTCAGACTTCTCGCTGGATTCTTTATCAGATTCTTCTTTGCTAGAAAGTTTACTGGAATTCTCATCAGATGATTCTTCGTTAATGATTTCTTCATTTTCAGTATTATCGTTTTCTTCATGATCAAGTTCTATATCAATAATAATGTTATCCTCATGTGTATATAGTTCTTCATTTATTTCATTACCTCTTTCATTCGATATATGATGGGATTGTATATTGTTAAAGGGATTATAATGATTTCTTACATAAGTTTGGCGATAGTTGAAGGAAGTATAATGATTTTGAAACATTTTAATTTTGTAAAAATTGACAGAATTTGTAATTTATATTTATACTTCAGTTAGACGTGAGAAAATAAAGTGTATATCTTGTATTACAATTAATATACTTAATCAGTGTGTAAAATCTATGTGCACAATGTGCACATGTGCACATTAATTTTTTGTGTGCACATATTACACAACATAACATATGCATAAATTATTACTAAAAATAGATAAATTATGTACAAAAAAGGTAATTTTACATAAGAAAATGTTATAATTTTCTTATTTTAGTAATAATTAATCAACTTGTGCACATAAATTTTAACTTAGATTTTATATACTGACTTAAATAGACTAAAATAGACTAACAATTAACATTTTTCGTATCACAATCACAATTACTGTATTATTGTACTTAAATGGATTAACTGGTTACAATCATTTTGATTTATTATACTCCTTTAGTATTTTGCTTATGGTGATCATAGTGAATATCATAAAAAAATAATTATTTATATAATAAATTAAACTAATTGATCAACAAAATAAATCGATTTAAACTTTTTTTTTATAAAAGCTTTTTAAAGTTTAATTTATAGTATACCTTATAAACTATCCCTTTATTAAAAAATTCACATAAAAAGATATACTTTCTATTGGAATTTTTCACTGCCGCCAAATTTATCTTCAAGGGCTTTATTGATTTATTTTCAATTTTTACTGAAATTAGGTAAGAAACTTATAAATATTCAGGCTGAAGTTTAGAGCAAGTTCAGCAAGAACTAACTAGTCGCTAAAACCGCTACTATTGCTAAAACCGCTAATGGAAAAATGAAAAGGAAAATATTTTAGTCTTCTCACCTAAACTTTTAATTCTCTAAAAATCATTATGCCACCAAAACGAAAGAAAGAAAATGATATTATTATCATAGCAAGATTTAGCAGGAGAAAAGAAGTCCCACTTGAACCTTTGATAAATACTACTGCTACTGTATCCAAATATAACCGCAAAAAGAAAGAAGAGTCATCTATTCAGCTGATAATTGATAAAATATTGAAAGATGACGATAACCAACAAGCCATAACTACAGGTACTAAACATGATCCTAATAAAAAAGAAGGAACCATCATTTTACGTAAAAAAAATAAAGAAATGGTTGCTTCATCATTTTCAAACGATAATCAACTGATAATTGATGATGATCTACAAGGTAATAATGTTAGTTAATAATTTGCGATTATTATATTATTTAATCATGTTAATTATATTTTTTTTTTAGTCTTAAATCATGAATTTTATGGTAATAAAGAAATTGCAAATGTTGAGACAGAATTGTCTTAATCTTTAATAGTAAGCCTAAGTCCAGGTTCAAGGACTAATACTCCAGATAGTTTTCATGATATGTTTGAATCTTTCCATCAAGATATCTTATTAACTGCGCCTTCAAGACTGTTACCAGCTCTGTAATCAAAATCTAGTGTTTCAACCAGATTTTTTCATTCTCATAAAACTGTGTTTTGATCTATAATAGCTGCATTTTCAAACTCATCATCAGCTTCAGAATTAAGATCCACGTTTCAGGAGATTCTGAATACATCTGGTCATTTCAATATAAATAATGTGGTAGTTCTATCGCTATTTAATGAAATGACGATCTATCAACTATATTCGTGGTTATGTGCAAATTGTAATATTTTGCAACTGGCAAACAGTATGCATTTATCGATGCAAATACCAGTTACAAATGAGAAGCGATTTGCACTATCATCTATTTCTCCAAGTTTATCAAATATATTACAAAATCAGAAAGATAAAGTATGAGGTCTTTCCTGTTAAAGTGTTTCACAAATTATTAATAAAATTATGTAATAAGTGAAGGCTCATCATGACTACTTGGATGAATTAAAATATCTTTTTCTTCACGTTCGACATCCTCCAAAAAGTGCGATTCAAGATTTGATACACCAAATTTTCAAGTGTGACTTAAATTCAATCGAAGGTATTGAATATTTAAAAGTAGCCAATAAGAACCTTGGTGATTCCTGTAACAAGTTGATCAATGGTATTATGGAGTTGATTAAATCGTTTAAAGAACAAAGATCCAAGTTAGTATATAAATTGTGTAATTTTTTTTTTTAGTTTGATACTATTTTTTTTGCGATTATAGAAATACAATAGGCTCTTTAAAAAAGGATGAAATTATCAAATTCGTGGATGAATCTGTTACAATTTAAGTGTTAAGTCATTGGCTAAATGCCACGAATATAGGTGAATTAAAGGCTCAACGTTCATTGTCACATTTATGCAGATTTATCCAACACATATTTGTGATTAACTATGAATCAAGAGATATTGAAAGAACAAAACTTTAGATAAATTAACAAAAACCATTGCTGTACCATCGCAAAATGGCAAAAATTTCGCTGTCAATTTACGATTTTAAAATAATTGGTACAATAAGCATTAATTAATAATTTTCATTTTATTAAATGTAATTTTTATTGCTTATAATTTTACTGCTAATATGACTTTATAATTTTTATTACTTATAATTTATTAATTTTATATTTTTGCATTTTTTAATTTTTATATTTTATATTCAATTTCACAAGTTTTTTTTAATACTTTAAAAAAAAAATAAAAAATTACATAAATGTCAATAAAGAATAATCTATTTGCAAAACAAAAAAAAAATATATATATATTTTTAACATATTGAATGAATTAGTCAATTTGTCATTGTATATTCGCAGATATATCGCACAAATATCCTGGGTTAATTTTTTCAGTTAATTTTTAATGTTATTTATTATCTTTTGAAGATTACTATTCCAACTCACTACTATTTCGAGACTGATTTTTATTGAAACCTTAACGAAATATTATCAAAATCTTAGCAAAAAATGTTATCACAAAGTAAATACAAATTCGAAAATACTTGGTAATGATCACATGACAACTAGGTTACAAAACATCGGGTTTCTATAAAGTAATTTTTATTATTAATAATCATAATATATTAAAAAATTAAAAAATATATATATTATAAATTTAATATTACCAATATTGATGATCTGATTTTAATACTTTATTCTTTTCATTTAATAAACAAATAATCATCATTACATAATTTTGTTTACGACCTATATTTCTTTTATCACTACCAAATTTTAATTTAATTATATTACCAGGTTGAAGAATTGGTAAAATTGATTTATTCCAAATAGAAATAAGTATTTTAAGAAGAATTCTGATTGATCGATAATATTATTACCAATTTTATTTTTATCAACTATATTAAAATTATTTTGAAATTCATCATTATCAGATATTGATTGTTGATCAAATTCTTTATCAAGATTAATTATTCCAATTTGTATTTAACCATTAATTAATTTAGTAATTTCAATTCTACTTTGTGCAATTTAATATTTACATATTAACTATGCATCTAATCCATCACAATTTAATAAAGTTTCATCATAAGTACATATAAAAACATCTAATTTTATCAGATTTTTTGTTGAATTAAATTTTATATTAATAATATGGTTTTCATATTCCAATTCTATATTACGTATATAGATTAGCTCTTCAGATTCTGAAGTCATTTAATGTTGTAAAATAAGTTGATGGATCTCCTTATAAGCATTCTTTCCAAATAATACAAATCATTTTTTGCTGTGACAATAATTGTACTTCACTAAGCGGCCTTTTTCTTTTATCAATATTAATGTTCAGCTTTATAAGCTTTCCAACTCGTGTTTGATACAATATTTTAATATCAAATTCAAAAACATGTATTCCAGAAGATAATCCTTTCTGATTAATTAAATATATTATAAAATATATTTTTATTAAATAAAAAATTTGTAATATATAGTCTTTGATTATATTATACAGTAATATTAAACTAATTCTTTTAATATTAAATAAAAATGCGTTTTTTCTTTTATTTTAAAAAAAAATCATTATTATTTTAAAAAAATTATAAATCAATTATTGCCTTTGAAAATACATTTACAACTCTGCTGACAATTCATTTGATACATCCATTTTGCCCAATCTTCTTTCTATATAATAGTATATAAAATCTTATTAATTAAGATATATTTTGTCTTATAACATAATATCCTATCTAAAACTTCTGTCTCTATGATATATTTATCTGGAATTTGATATTGAACAGCATTTTGATTGTATTTTAGGTGTATTTAACATTCTGAGGATAATATCCAATTGCTATTATCTTGTATCTTGAATTAAAAGTCTTGTTTCTAATGGTATATTGAGCATTTATAAGGATTATTGGGATAATTGTGGTAAAAAACTCTGCATAACTATTTATAAAAAATTATTATTAAATTATTATTTAATTATAAAAATTGCTTAATACAATATTTATAACTTTTACAATACCCACTATAATATAATTATAGTGTAATTCCTGTACTTTCGTAAAAATAATTAAAATTTTCTAAAAAAAAAATAAATTATAAAATACATAACTTTTATGCTAAATAAATATTCTTACAGTATTTTTTAGCCTTTTACCTGAATCAATCTAATTAATCTATAACCAATTTGAAGTAAATGATTTTGAAAGCTTTTAAAACGATTATTTGCTTTCAAATATTTTAAATCCAAATTATTGAACCAATTTAGTAAATTTAGTAATATGATGTATATCTTATTGCAGTTTTGGTATTTTAATGTAGATCATTTTTTAAAATATCACAAAATTTACTTAATAAGATAAGCGTGATCAGCTTATATAGGAGTTTTGCAATAGAAAGGAAGGAAATTCTAAAAAAATTTTTTTTTGAGTTAATGTTAAATCTGGACTTATTTTACAAAAA